GGCAAAAGACAGGTGTGAGTAGTTTAAGTGGTTCCTCAATACTACTTTTTTTTGAAGCATCTTGTAGCATGTTTTACTGTTTCCTTCAAACACAAGCCTGTGGATGTTGAAAGTTGGTTTTTTCCTTCATATTACTTGATTTTTCTCCCCCGTTTTATTGAACTTGTTCTTTTTAAAGAATCAAGTATGTATACCACTTTAAAAAAAACTTAAAAAAAGACAATTCATGCCTACTTGCACTTAGTTTCTTCTTCAAGAGACATTGGGATAACATCCTGCATTCATGAAGGTTGTATAGATAGAAGAGCTTAGCCCGAAAAGCATCCGGTACATCTTCAGAGTTGGAAGTAATTAAAGGGTAGGCTCTGTGGGTGGGTGTTATGGTAGGACCAACCGATGAATCCCATTGTAAAAAAACCCTTGCTGTTAGAGTAGGTTATTGTACTTTGTTCTCTTTTTATTAATTGTGTTATCATACAAACACTAGATTGGTGGATATGGATACAAGAGCAACAAACTTTAATCTTAGTTCTTTGCTATAAATGTTTTTTTAAATGGATGTTCATTTTATTACAATAGTAATACTTCATTGTGGTGTTATCTATGGGGAATCTTACTTAAAAGAACATGGGCAGTAACAAGCTATTACTTGATAATTTTCTTAAGTTGCTGCAGCAAAGAGAAATGCACTTTAAATTCTACAGAAAATACTTTACATTCAGCTGGAAGAAAAGTACTGTGGCTGTGTTGAGGATGAACTTGAAACACCCATCCTTGAGGGATAGATTACAAAAATGCAAAAGATGGAAGGCCAGAATCAGGTCAACAGATGTTTTATGTGCTTGAAACTGCTTGGTTAACTTGGGCTGTTGCTAAAAATGATCTGTGTGTGCTTAAATTTATCCTATGGCAAGTGCTCGTTTAAACAGAAATCTTCTGTTGCTATATTATCTATAATGGGAACTCGTAATTTCTGTTCTTTTGGCTGTTGGTTCTCTTGTAATCAAGATACGAGATTCAACTGAAGAACCTAATGTGATTAAAACTTCTCCAGATTGTTACAGCACTTTATTTTTTGCCTTTTTTGGCATCTGATGTATGAAATAAAGAGGGGTTTTTTTCATGTTACTTATATAACACTCTAAGGCCACCCTGGCCATTTGGTAGAGGTGAACAAATGGTAAAGAACACTTGGCATTTCTTAGTTCCATTTCAACTCAGTAACTAAAAACAAAATTTAAGTGAAATATTACCTCATCTTGATAGGTAGCTTATGTGATTTGTCAATACTGCATGTTAAAGCAATAAACCATTTCTTTTCAGCAGTGTCATTAATCTAATAAAAGATAGCTCAGTGTAACACAGAAGGAAATTGAATATCTGATGTTTTAATATCCCAAAGGCAATAGGAATAAAATCAACTCGTTGGATATAGTGACAATTGGGACTAAAAGAATTTGGGTTTGATAGGTCAAGTTCCATTGTAAAACAATGTGGTTGATACTACTTTCATACTGTAAGACTAACAAGCTTGTGATGCTGTTGGTAGGTATTCTTAAAATCGCTTACTCTCTTGTATTTGCAGAACCTTTGTATTTAAGTTTTAGATCACTTCCTGATCAAATGAGGGCATCTTTTATATGTGCGTAATACTGAACTTAACTTTGATTATTTTGAAAACTATTTGGGCAAGTTAGTAAAACAAATTCTCAAAATTATACTTTAGTCTCTGTTGGAAGGTCATCACAAATTACTGGATTAGATAAATACAAGAAAATGGTACGTGCATTTATCAGCTCTTTCTGATTCAGGGGCTCATGTATCTTTTTGTGAAAATGGAATCAGCTGAAGATTCAGGGAGTGGGGAAAGAGTCTTCTTGCATCACTGGTGAGGTTTACTTTACATGGGAGTGTGGAGGAGTAAGGTTCACCATTGTACAAATTAACTGGGTTTACAAAGTCCGTAATACTCTACTGTATGAAACTCTGTATGCCTTTATTTCTGGTATTTTGTCACTGCTCGTACCATAACACATGAAGCAGTTGGTTCTGTGGGAAGCACGAGTGAAGAGGCTTGGCTTTTGGACTTGTATGTTGCCATGACCAGAGACAGTTTATAACCTTTTCCTCCCATTTCTTCTACCTACTTTTACTTAGCTTTCTGGGTAACAGGAAGCTACATATGGCAATACTTGAACTGCCTATGTTCGAGTGGGCAGCTAGCATACCAATGCCGGCCAGCTGGGTGTCACTATTGCATGGCCAGGTGAGCTGAGTAGACCCCCTTGTTCTTCCTCTGACATGGACTAAAGAGGTGTCTTCAGGAACTACATATACCCTAGTCCATACAGTGTTTAGGTTTGCTGTGGGAAATGAGTCTTTCGGGAAACTCCTGTTGTTGACAAATTGGGTTGAAACTAGCCGAAGCTATGTGGGGGAAGAGGGTGTTTTTTTGAAGTAACTGGACTAACAAATAACTAGCTGATTTGATCATAAGCCTCGTGTCTCCACAAAACTGTGCTAATAACATAGAACACAGTCCAGCCAATTTAAAGTGCCTGTAGGCAGAGTTGGTCTCTAGTGCTTAACCCATCTCATTCTTAGGTGTAATAGGAAATTGCTTCTGCGTCTTCATTTGCACTTTATGCCCTTCTGGTTGCAAGCTGTGGAGCTAAATGAGAGATTCTCTTCAGCTTTTACTATATTTGTAAGACCACTGTGGATTTTCATCTACAGCTCATGTATAGAGCATTTTGTGTATGGGGAATGTTTTGTGGGGTTTTGTTGTCTTGTATTTTTGCTTATTTGGAGAGTTTGGTGTTCCTGCTTGTATTAAGAGGGTGTGACCAGTGGCTTCATGAGTTTTAGGGTGGTTGCTAGTAGAGGAGGCAGTTTAGGAGTATCTGGTAATAAGCTTGCCAGCTTTCAGAGGAGCATTCTGAGAAGATCAGAAGTTGTGAAAGTTGCCAGGTTAGGCAGGCAGGCTGTCTTCATTTTTCTAAAACTAACCAGGGACTGTCTCAAGGATCTAAAACTGCTTTTTAGAAAAGTACCAAGTTCCCTCTCTCTCCCTGCCCCCCACCCCTTGTACTTTTGAAGCCTACAAAGGTACTTTGCTCAAACTTTCAAATTAAATTGATGTGATGCTTGACTTAAACTGTAGCCAACCTGAAATTAAAACTATAGCATGAACTGCCTGATTGACCTTCACTTAATGTAGAAAAATACATGATAGTCCAAGCGCTTATGAAATGAGATCGCTTCTTCAGCAAGGTGATCAGTGCCTTGGGTTTAATTTTCTTCCCAGCATTTAACCTTGCCTAATGTATTTCTAGATCTTTCTGTGTTAATCTGAAGTTATTTCAACCACAGTTCAGGCTGGGCTAGCTGCCCAGTTGTGTGCAACAAGGAAGTTGTTCCCCACTCCCCCTCCCTCTCCCTTTTTTCTTTTTTATCTACCAGTGTTGTTTGTAGCTTTCAGTTTTTCCTCTGGATTTGTATGAGGAAACAACATTATGGACTGTGGGCCACATATAGCACATGAGAGCTATGCAGTAGTTGGTAAATGATTCTGGGGTCTGTCTGTGACTAGTCAAAGGAGGCATTGCATTATTTTCAAGGTCAAGCATCCCATCTTGGGGGGGGGGGGGGGGGGGGAGATACACGTCAAGCAAAAACTTCAGTTTAATAGAATTCTGATTTGTTAATGGCAGTGCTGTAGATAGGAAAGTCAGCCAAGCCTTATAGGCAGCATCCCTAAGCAGTGAAAGCTGCCAAGCTTCGTTGTAACTGAAGAAATACTGATTTGAATGTTGTCAGGTGCTGTACTGGGATTTGCTACTGCTAGCCAAGTGGAAAAAAAAATTCTTTTCCAATGACAGTCAGCTGTAAAGTTCATAAAATGGCTGCATGTATTTCAAGAAGTTCTTAGAAAAATTCATTCCTTCTGGATGAAGTTTGAGATGCATTGGATTTTAATACTGCCAGATGAAGTTTATGAACCATTTCATGCAACAAGAAGTTAGGTTTTACTTAATATTTTTTTTCAAAGGAAACCATAAATCCTTCCTATGAGCAACTGTGTAACCTCTTTTCTTAATTTTTAAAGTGCTTGGTGAAAACAAGGTTATTCACTGAAGGAATTTTTTTAGACAAAGGTGAATTACATTTATTGTGGTGTTAACAGCTGAAGCGCTAAGGTGCTGCAGAGATTTGAAAAATGTCAGAAAGTATCAGTGTAATGGAAAACATACGCAGCTTTGGCAATAAAGCTCTATCCTGTACATCTTTCCTTCGGTATTTTATGCAGTGACAAAGAGTACTTACAGTCCTTGCAACTTCTGTTATAAACTTAGGTCCGCTTAAAAGCAGTTGTATAACTTTCATTTGCTGATGAAAATTAGAACAGATGCTTCTGAGATAATTAATTTTTTTTTCTTGCTTTGTGTGTGGTCAAAAAATGACAGACTTCTCAATTAAATTCCTTTTTTGGGGAAAAGTGGATTGAGCTCAAGGTGGAAAATTGGGAGGTAGAGGAAAACAAGTCTTTTAAAAGCCTAATTTAAAAAAAAATGGCGTGGGGGTTACTAGGAAATGAACTGTTTCAATATTTATTCAACAGCCTGGATATCACACATTGCTAATAAATGTACTATTTTAAAGGCACTTCTACTGTATGGCTTGTAAGGTTTCTTTAGACAAATCTATTTGCTTGCAGTTAGGAAGTCTGGTGATGCTTTGAGACCTTTTCAGTTTTGCATAATACATAATTATAACTGCTTAAGAATTTTTCTTTGGTGGTCCTGATGTGGCAGAAAAACCAGATTATTTTCAAAGTAGTATTGCCATAATACAGACTTTTAAAGTATGTGTGCTAATCTTTTTTTCATTACATAAGCAAAGATATGAAAAATATTTTTCTGTCTTTATCTAAACTGGCTTTTCTTTAAAAATCCTAATTTGAAATGTGTCCCCTCTTTGTTTTTTTTTCTTCCCCCTAGATTTGAGTTCTGTGAACCTGCCTTTGTGGTTGGTAATTGTTTGGAAATAGCCTCAGACAGTCATCAATATGACCGGATTTACTGTGGAGCTGGAGTCCAGAAAGACCATGAAAACTACATGAAAATTTTATTGAAAGTTGGAGGCATTTTAGTAATGCCTATAGAAGATCAGGTGACTTAGTGACCATTTCCCCTTTTTATCTTTCAGTGTGAGAAATACATAATTTAAGGAATGCTTTTAAATGTATATTTGACTGAGTTAATGTTCAACTAATGATATCTTGATTCAGTGTATTGCTGCAGTTAAGCAGATATTAGTCTTTTTAATGAAGTCTTGAACTTTTTTTCCCTTAAACTTGTAAGAAAGCATCAATATCCTGCTTCCAACAGCCTGTGGCAAAACTGTGTCTTCAGTGAAACCAGAATTCCACTCACAGTATTGTCAGTGTATTATACCAGTCCCAGAGCTGCTTTGAAATCTCGCTGCCACACTGACATTTTCAGTCAGTACTTCAAAACAAAGAAACCACCCTCTAAACCAAGAGAATTTATTTCAGAGAAATATGAAATAGCTGTGATTACTGGGACATTGTAAGGGGAGGAAAAAACTGAAGGAAAAAATACAACTTATTTCCAGCAGTTTTCAGTGTTACTTTTCCGTGTTAGATTAAATGTTTTTCAGACAGGTGTATTATTTTAATAATACTTCGCACTTTTATCGCTTTTCATCCTTAGATCTCAAAAGGCTTTACAAAGATAAGTATTATTCTCCCTGTTTTACTAATAGGGAAATTGAGAAAGACAGATTGTGATTTAAGTTGGATGTCCTCCTAAATACAGATAACTACTAAAATGCTTATTGATAAACATGCTAGTTACTTTATCTTCCAAAAAGAATTATCACATTATGTATCTGCTTTCTCAAAATACCAAAGTGATTTAAACAGAGCCTGCATGATTCAGTTCCATAAATATTTTTTTCAGTATTTATTGGACTAAGATACTGTCAGTTGAAATTGATAGAATCCAACTTAAAAGTAGTCTCGATTTGAAAGCAAAATTAAAACTGTGAATATTTCTACCTTGTATACAAATGGTTAGGGGGCTAGACCATGTAAAGTATAAGGAGCAGCTGAAAGATCCGGGTTAATCTAGCCTGCAAAGAAATGGCTAAGGGAACGTTTAGTTCCTGACTCGGCTTCCTAAAGGGGTGGAGAATTTACCTAGTAGACCGGAGTCCAGTTCTCCTCACAGGTGCACAGCAAACTGGAAGAAGAATGTTACAAATGGCAGAAAGGGGGCATTCTGCCTGCATATAGGGAAGACAATTTTTCTGAATGAGAGTGGTTGAACAGTACAGCAGGTTGCCTAGTCAGGTGGGGAAATCTCAGTCCTAGAAGATCTTTTAACTTCATCGGAAAAGCTTCTGAGTTGCCTGGTTTAACTTTGAAGCTGGTCTTGTTCAAGCAGGAGGTAGGACTCTAGAGGTTGCTTCCAGTCTAAAGTATTCTGTGATCTTTTGGAAAAATCAGAAAAAGCAAAACTTACCTTGGGCCTTAATTTTCCAGGTGCATCTCTTCCCATTGCCAAAGAGCCTTATTCAGTACTCTAGTGACGAAGTAATATTTCAAGGACTATGGAAGTCCTTTCTGTTCATAAAACAGCCTTTATAAATTAATTTTGAAGCAAACCAAAATAGCAGTGTGTTTGAACACCAATCTGAATAGTATTGAGTATGACAAAACTGTACCACTGATTTATTTTGGTTTTGTTTTTATGCAGCTAACACAAATCTTGAGAACGGGACAGAACACGTGGGAAAGTAAAAATATCCTTGCTGTTTCATTTGCTCCACTAGTGCAACCAAACAGAAATGACAACGGCAAACATGATACTGTGGGACTGCGTAAGTGTCATTTGTGGGCTTGATGGGTTGTTACAGTGCCTGCTGGTGGTGTTCTGGAAGTGGGGAAGCTATGCTATACAGACATAACATGATAGAACAGGAACATACGGTTTAGCAAAGCAGTAGCTCACTGATAATGTTTTTGTGCTCCTGGCACGTGTTCTGTGTTACTAAACAAGTAATATCCTGAATTAAAATGATACAGTGCGTCCAGCTTATTTTTCCAAACTTCTTTTCCTTTTAGGTTCAGCTTCTCTTTCTAGCGAGGTACAGATAAAATAGCAAGCTAATATTAGGTCTATCAGGAGCACTAACTTTCTGATCATCTCCTAGAGAAAAATATTTATTCTCTTCCCCCTGAAGTGGAAGGAACAGGTCTAAACTGCAGCTGTGGTACTGTAGGATATTAATAGCTGAGTGTGCTTGTGTCTGCCTGCCAACTGATACAGTGATGCCTGGCTGTTTTTTAGTAGTCATTGGGGTTGGCTTTCTAGCTGCAATGCTTTGAATTAGATTAGTAAAGGTGCTTAGAAAGTCTCTGAAAGTACATCTCTTGCCAGGATGGTAAGATAGCATGATAAGGGGAAAAAAGTGGCAGAGAAAAAAAGTGGTAGAGTTGCAATTTTATGTCAGGGCTAGGAGTAGAGTAATACACAGAGCTTCAGTAATGTGGGAACTTAAACAAACCCAACAAAGAGCCTAGAAGATAACGGCTTTTCTCTCCTGTTTTGTTCTGTTAATATATAAACAAAGAGAACATCCCTCTGTCCTTTTCACGTTTCCTGCTTCCATGCACGTTTTTTAACTGTGAAACAGGTATAACCCTTCAGGAGTCCAGGATGTCCTATCAGATTGCATTGCCTATAACTACTGATCTGGCTATTAATTTTGAGAGCATGTGTGAGCCCTGCGAAGGATAGTTCCTTATTATAGCTACCTTTTACTTTTTTTGTTCAAAGTATAGATGATCCTTTCCTTTATGTAATCAGTTCTTTTGCAGAAATAATTCATTTTGGTTGCTTTAACACTTGCTTTTTGACACCTCAGAAGTTACTTCCTGAAATTAACTTAGAATCATAGAATAGTTTGGGTTGGAAAGGACCTTTTAAAGGTCATGTAGTCCAACCCCCCTGCAATGAGCAGGGACATCTTCAACTAGATCAGGTTGCTAAGAGCCCCGTCCAACCTGACCTGGAATGTTT